AGTTTGCAAGACGTTCCTACTTCCGCTCTTCCGCAATAAATCGAAAATACAGTTGTCTTCCTAACAACATTAAAGGCTAACTACATTATACAAAATTCTGGCACGAAATGGTCTTTACTTTGCATAAACCCTACAATTTCATGCTTTGAAAAGAAATTTCTACGGTACGATATACGTCGATTTACGACTGGCTAATGTTGCCAGATGTTCAAAGTATAAAAAAGAAAAAAAAAAAACTCCACTTCAGGCAAGTATGTTCCCTACACGTGGCGCTAAGATCATCTGTGAACAAATTCCGATCTGATTTTTAAACTCTTGAGAGTAGGTCGTTGATCATTGTAAATAAGACTAGAAACGCAGTATACTTAAAGTGCCTGGCGATGGGCTACAAAAATGGGTTACAAAAATGCATTACAATTCAACTAACGCGATTAGTGGAGCTGAGCTTAAGGCATAACCTTAGAAACATGCGACTATCGTGTAAAGGCAAAGGTCATGCTATACTTAATACCTTATACCTTAATTGAAAAATTTCAATGTTAAGTCGAAGAAAAACTGCATTTTTTTTTTTTTTTTTTTGTTTTAAATCTATCCACCTATAATCGTAAGGTAAACTATGTGCATGCATGCATGCATGCATGGATGCATACATGTGGTGGTATGCAGTATGCAGTATGCAGTAGAAGCCAAACTAATATCAAACGAATAACTTGTATATATAATAAGACTGCAAATAATTAAATTAGTTCAATTGTATAATGTTGCGCTTAGTCTATAATGTCTTGCAAGTATGATGATAGACCGCAATCTTCTGTATGTAAACATGTTTGCAATAATAGTTCATTAATACAATTTTATAGTGAATGCAATTTAATCAGACAGCACGAAAATTGGTTGCGTTACGTTAGGGAAACCAGATTTTCCATGTCTTTAATCTCAATGCTAATAATACTAATGTTATATATATATATATATATATATATATGTATTTATGTATATGTATTTAGTTGTGCTGTAGTTAACAACAGGGTTTTAGTTAATTAAAATACAACTAAGTTTTAATTTAATTCTTATTCTTGTTATAGTTACAGTTATGGTTTTGGCCTTTTTTCAAAATCCTTTGCAGTTAACATACAAATGTGCATTTTATGCAGTGGCATTAATTAGACGTTTTTTTGGATGACTGACGCTTAGCTGTCATTGATTCATTCAACGGTTATTATCGGCGAGCAATTAACAGTTATTTTAGTTGCATGTGTTCATTAAAATAATTTAATTGTTATAAAAGCAATGTTTACCTCCTATCGATTACATGCTATATAAGATAACATTGGCATAAATTTTTAATAAGACCAACCACCACCAGCTAGCTATTCACCGCATAAGAATGTTATACTTGTTATTAAGTCGTACAATATCTTGAAGAGTCACTTAACGCGTTTGCCGATTTTTTTCGCGGCGACGTAAATAAACTCGAGATTAAAGTGAACTCTAACCAAATTTCTTGAGCGTAATTTTCACGACAGAGTAAATAAATATAAGCGCATTTAAGCAAATTATACAGAAATTTTCCTATCAATTTTTTGATTGCCGGCAATTTTGAAAGATTGAAATGAAAAATTTTAAATCACATTAAGCATACGTGTCCATCCGTCCAATTTATGTCATTGTTGTTGTCTTTAAGGTTGGAAAACTTTAATTAGACAAATAAAAATTCCCCTATGAAGTTTTGCATCCAATGCGTTTGAAGAGAACCGCGACTCGTCCAGAATCGCTCCTATCATTAACAAAGTATTGAAAAGAAAACTAAATTTTTTAAAATATTCAGTTTAGGCATTATTTCGTAAATATATTGTCGGAAATCTCGTTTGCCTATATATATATATGTCTAGTAAAAGTTGGCATTCATGCAGATATATATGTACACATATATATATTTTTATTCGCGTTTTTATAATATTTTCGAAAGCCCAGGGAATGACATGTTCCGTATCCGAATAGAACATGCCAGATGGAAATTTATGTTAGCACTTGCATTGCGGAACATAACGATCGCTTTCATCGAAGAGCTGTTGCTGATGTCGATCAAACCAAGGCCAAAAGAGATCAAACATAACCTCAATATTGCATAATATACACGATTGATGTTTACACTTAATACAGTATATCTCTGGATGGCAATGAATGGTGATCATGATATATACGTAGAATATCATATTAAAATGAAGGAAAAGTAGATGAGAATTTTTATTAAGACTATAAAGCAGATGTTTTTAGGGTCTTTTGTAGTCTGTTGTCAAGCAATATAAAAAGGCTTCTAAGGAAGGGAAAGAGACATTTTCGCATAGTAGACGGAGTTTAATTCAAATTATCTCGCTTGTTGTTTGAACTAAAAATGTATATTGTTTAACACTAAACGTACCAAGAGAGGTGAAGTAGCACCTTTTTTAGTTTTCACATACACACATTATGTATAGTAGTTGTCTTAATATTTCATTTCACTCTTATTTATTTGTCATCGATAAGGGGATCATTTAACTCCCGAAAGCTGTCCTTTTCTACCGTTTAATTTCACAATTCATTTATCATAGCGAACTAAGAACTATGTTTTTGGAAATATTTACTCTTGATCGATGTCTTTCTCTGAATGTCATCATTCAGCTGTCACGAATTCCCTGAACTCTCATTATCTCTCGATTCTTTAATTAAATTAGAAATTAAATGTGTTGTTTGGTTCGAGAAAAGACGTCAACAAAAGCTGGTGCTTACGAGCTTGACAAATTTACTCTCGTTTCGGAAAAGTGGTACCAAATTCAACGTTGCTTGTTCAAAACTCTCTGTCGATTTCACAACATATATACAGTTACAAAATAAAATTTAAATGGATTTCGGTATTTATTCGGAATTGTATGCTTTTCGAGTTGCGAAAACTTAGTAACGCAACGGTTGCTACGAAAAGCATTTGCGATATTTATCCAAACGCATTAAATATTCGCAAGCAACAAAGGTGGTTTTCTAAGTTCAAATCTGGCAATTTCGATCTTTCCGACCGATCTTATCGATCAGAAGGACAGACAGACAGATAAGATAAAGACATGCTAACGGCGAAAGTGGAACCAAATGCGTGTCAACAACCAAGGAATTCCCTTAAGCAAGCTAAACGGGTAGGGGTTATTATTCAAAACACAAATCGGTGAGAGAATTTGACAAGCTTGCCGAAGACTTCCAAGCTAAGCGAGAGGAAGATTAAAAGAAATGGACGAGCAATGTCAAAAATATTTTGCCAAAATTAAGCAAATCACAATAATCTGTTTAGAATTTAACAGACTTCCAGAATTCAAAATTCCCAACGGCTGCGCGACGGTGGCTGCTAAACGTTGTGGAAAAATATTCAGAATTTCTGTTGTCGTTTCCTAAACCAATGGAAAAACTTATTGAAACTAATAGTTCAACGAAAAATGTTTTATTCACAATATACAAAGGGTATCCTGCCTTTGTGACCGGTAAACTAATCGCAACGCGAAAAAGTGTATTTTCCTCTCATAATTGTGACTTCTATCAAACTAGGTGGTCGGGAGCGATAGTCAAGATGAGATTTTGAAATTATGAAAACTATATTAGTAGCATTTCTCTCGTTACATACGTCCGTTCATACGTCACGTATCGTATGAATTCCAATATCCTTTTATTTCTTAACACTTACAATGTTATAGGCTTCAGTGAAATGGAAATGTTTCTAAATAAGCATGCATAGCAAATAATTTATGTTAATTTACTCTTTCCATAATAAACTCAAACTTCAAAGCACAAAGAAAAATGTGTGTCACTTAGAACACAGCTGTAAATAATATAATATATTCTCTCCTTACGTATAAGGTGCCTGGTGGTAAATTCGTTGCGTGCCAGAAAAAAGGTTAAATTTTCATATTCTATACAAGTTGTGATATAGGCGTTAAGTTTGTGAGGATGATTTAGAATCGCTTTCTGAATCGATATAAGCTTCTCCGTCCGTCCGTCCGTCCGCCCATTTGACCGTTTTATATTTTTTGTTCAATCCACAGACCGTAATTTTATATGCTGAGATACTTTGGCTCAAGGATTAACATTATTCTGTCCGTCGGTCTCTCTTTTGTGTTTAACGTACAGGTCGCCATTTTTGGGATATTTTAATGAAATTTGGCATATTTTGAATCAAGGACTAAGACTATTGGTAAATGGTTCAGATCGGACCACTTTTTCGGCCATTTTATATGTAAAGCCTTAATTTAAAAAGTGAATATATGGATACTATGCCCCGTTATAGTGTTTTTATTTGTTCCCTGTGAAACTTTATTGGCAATCACTGATATTTTGATGATTTATTAAAAGATATCTAAGTGAGATAAAGAAATCATTGAACATTTTTGCGTCGCATTCATAGAAATATATGAATTTTTTTTTTTTTTTGTTTTTTTCTTACTGATAATTCTATATAATCTGTTTTTATGAATATTGTTCGGTATGTTGAGTTGTTAAAATATTTGTTTTGTTCTCCTAATAAATTTTAAATGCATTCTCAAAATATATGATATATAAATAAGTTGACGTTAAAACTTGTTTCTTGCTGTAGGTACATCAATTAATTTATAAAAATGAAATGCATTGCAAGAAACGTTGCAGACATAATTGACCGATTAATTGAAATGCATGTCAGTTTTTTTTTTTTTTTTTTTTTTTTTTAATAATAAATCAAAAATTTTAATAATCGATGAATGAAAAGGCGAGCACTACTACTAAATGCAACTTCAAAGAAATTTTGAATATCGTTATCTTAATTATTTCCACATGTTTTTTGGTTGATTTGTCAGATTAAGTTACACAATAGTTTCGCAATAAATTATATATATGTATATACATATATATACATATTGTATATTGTAGAAAGTAAACGTTAATCATTGGCGTTAAGAGAAATATTATTAACATATTTAATTTATTCATTTTCCAAATTTATTATTTACCTTATGGAATTCCACTTGTGCACCCTCAGCCACACCCTCCAATTCACGGATGTATTGAGGAAAGGAGTTCTTCACCGTTTCCAATGTTTCATTATAGGCATTTTCTAAGAATCAATGAATAAAAAAATTAAACATTGTATTGTTTTATTATATAAATGAATTATTAATTATGAGAGTTGTTGAAAGCAAAAAAACAAAACAAAAAAAAAAAAAAAAAAAAATTAAAAAAAAAAATAAAACATTTACTAATAAATTTACGCAGTAATCGTTACAGTGATTTCAGTACTTACTGCCTTTCTCCGTGTTATACAAAGGTAGATATTCGTTATTCAAAGGTATCGATAATTGTAGGAAACTTTTTATCAGTGAGGCAAATGTGCGGCCCTAAAATTGAGTAAAAAGCGAAAGCGATCATTAAATATTATAGAGCAGCAACAGATATATAAAAAATGAATTTTTTCCGCTCCATCTCTTCATTTCTGTTAAATTCATTTATTATTCCAATTAGATGTAATTATAAAATAGACAAGTGTGCTTTAATTTGAATGCAACCTAATAAAATAATAAGTAAAAACGCTATAGCGAGATACGGCCTACCATTAAAAACCCTACAACATTTTGCTTAATCCCGTTATACATATGACAACCTTTTCGAAACGCGATAATGCTATAATCGAATAAAAGCAAACAAAACGGATAGATGGACAGACAAGCTTAGATCGATTCAGAGGTTCTTATGGCTGTTGCATATATCCGCGCAAACTGAATATATCCCTGTAGCATAAAGGGTGCAAAGGGTATAATAGACGTTAATCGAGTCAATCTCTTCCATTACCTATTCCTGAACTACTCTAAACGCATTTCAATAAATCTATTTCTACGATATTTCATTATTTCAATTTTGTTTTTATTTTCGAACAGTCGGATAAGATAGGTAACGGGAAGCATTCATCATTCCCATCAAATTTGGATTACTTAGAGGTTACAGTAAATATTGATCTCCTTCGCCTCACAACCATTACAAAGCCGTGACTTCCTTGTTTCTGTAAGAGATGGAATGCAAGGTAAAGACATATCTCTAAGCTCCATGTAATTTGTTCGTCAATATCACAAACAACACATCACTATTATGGGCTAATAAAAAGGATGTACTGGTAAAGGAAATTTCATTTCTTCTTTTTCATAATAATGAAATAAATAAATATATATATATATATATATATTTTATATATATTCTATATTTTACATGAGTATACAAGTAAAAAAGAATTACGTAAAGGTTTGCAATCTATTCACAAGCATTTATTAATTTGTCTCTAATCTTTTTAATTAGTTAACATATTGGTTTGTGTGTGGATAGCAACCATTATGCATTATATGCAAAAATTTTGTTTAAGTTTATGTTAAATTTTTTGATTTGTGCGATTGTTAAAGATAATTCTTAAAGTTAATCACGAAGTCCGTGTTGGGTTTTAGGCGTTTGTTCATATTTAAATATTTATTATTAACATTATGGATATAAATAAACAAACAATGTTACTAAAAAGTTTATCTATTTCAAAATCTTTCAATTGAAATATTGAGACGAAAGCTATATATATATATATATATATATATATATATATATATATATCTATAACAACTTGGACGGTCAGCTATATATAACTTAGCGAAATTAGTTGGATATCCATCAACAAGTTTTACTGTTGAACTTAATTAACTTATTGCATGTTACGCCATAAATAGTTCAATGCAAATGTGCAAAAATAGCAAAGTATATGGGATGAGTAGTTGGTGAGTGAATTCGAAATATATATTGAAAATAACTTAAAGGAGCAGGCATATGCCAAAGATAATTTACTCACATGAGTAGTCTATTTGCAATCATTAGAAATGTGACTCATGTCATGCCTTTCCGTTTATCTGTTGGCGAATTTCACTTTCATAAAATTGAAGCATTGAACCCATAAGTTTCCGAAATTTCCCAAACATCCATGGCATTAATTGGATAGGACAGCTGTAAAACATTAAAGTGCAACGTGGCCCATCGTTCGCTAAATGCAGATATTTATATAATAACTTTTTAAACTAAGGCGATGTATGGAAAGTGATTGAAAACGTGGTCCGATCCGAATAATTTTCAATAGTATTAGTCCCGGAAATATCTCAGTAATTGCGATCTGTGGTTGAATAAAAGAATATAAGACGGAAAAATGGACAGACGGACAGACAAGCTTATCAATGTTAATCGCTCAGTATAATAAAATGCATGTCTATCCCATGTCCTTCTGGGTCGTGTTTATATCAGCGTAAAATTAATTTACTCTTGTACCACAAGTGCTGTAGGGTATAACTACCAAGAGTTTCATGTTATTCTTGTCGATAGATAGTTTTCCTGAAACGTATTTGTTATTAGACACTATTACTTACTTACTTATTAGACAAATGTGCGCCATGGTCTTCTAGCATTCAGGCATTTGGACACACTAACAAATTCTCCAATTTTTAACAAATTGTTTTCTTGTTGCTCAGTTACGAAATCTAGACTTACTATCGCAGAAAGGCGATATCCTATTGAATCATTCTCCTTGCGGTGACTAAGATTATTTAACGAAAGTAAGATAGAACGGTTTTGGTTACTATAAAATTTTAGTATACGATTTAATGCCGTTCTTTTTTTTTTTTTACTTTTCTTTTTAAATATGACAAATCACTCTGGAGGTGTCCCCTACATGTCTAACATGGTGGTGGTCAGAAAGAAGTGAGTAAAGAGAAAGAGAAAAAGAAAGTGGCCGTAACCTAGTGGGTGCACGACCAATCGATAACTATTATGCCCGGTAACGATTGAACACTCATTACAGCTACGATCAAGGATACTATACCGTACTAAAATTTCATTGAAATTAGATTCAAAACATTTGATCATAGATTTAAAAAAAAAAGGTGCGGTTTTTTTTTAGGCGATCGTGGGCCAATAACGCTCGCAAATTAAACGCAGCCTGCAGAATTAACAAAGTTATATAAGTGTATCGGTGAAGCCGGAAAGCAAAGCTTGTCCATCCCACGACCTGCTATAGAAGATCGAAGAAGCCACGAATAGATGTGAAAAGTGAGGAAAGTGAGGATGTTAATCGATCGACCCAATGCCCAATTCGATATCAAATACCAAAGGTTTTGTACTTCTTGGGAGTAATATTTGAAATAAATTGACTCTTAGGGTTTTCACCTATTTAAACCGATTCTTTAAATTACGCCCAATTCTGAGAGTGCAAAAATTTGATTTCACGTTCTTAGGCCTATTGCTGTAAGTCGTTGAAATTTATATGCGATGACTTTATTGAACTTTTCAGTTATTAAGGACGCGCTTTCAGGCATTTCATAAAGGCCGATGAACAAGCAAATGAAAGTTTGTTATAGCTGTTACATAATGCTCAAGTCATATTGCGCTAAATATTCTCATGGTATGTGCATCCGCAACAGACCACAAGCTCCTCCAGTATCGCAATCTAATACACGTAATAAGCATTGGTGAAGATGAGCTGTTGAAAGCAACTGGGAAAAGGAAATATTATTAGCATTAACTGCTCTTAAGGTAATTGGAAACTGAAACTTGAAAGCAAACCAGGGTCTTTTAAAGTCATTTAACGGATAAAATGATCTTTTGATTAAATCAGAAAATTAATTTTTCTTTTTGATCGGCCCAAATGATCAAAATGGATATGAGAAGATCATAGTTGACGTAGAAAAATTTTATTTAGTTCGAAGCTTGGATTTTCTGAAGCCAATTGTTAAGCCGTGTAATGGACATTTGAAACCCTAAACACGATTTTTCAAAGCGACAGACAGTAAAACTTCATTTTATTCATTCGAACTTTTTAAAACATTTTTCAGAAATGTGTTTTTTTAATGAATAACCTACGGGATTTTCCGATTAACTAATTTATATATTATTTATTGATAAAAATTTGCCCTTTTGTACAAAATTAAATTAAATTCTTTCAACTCAATATTCTTAAAATCCCCCATTTCATAATTCACTAGCGATAGGAGACATGTAGGTAAAGCGATATTTTTCCACAGATAGGGTCCTCTAAATTAAAAATGCTTTTACCAAATAGAACTATGTGATCCGAAACCCGTACGGTTAATTTTTATACCGATTTGTCACTGTAGACTTGTTCTCATCAGGAAATGTCACAAAGGCTTATTTTTCATTAGAATCTTTACTGGGATGGAATCCGAAATATATATCCAATTAGTTCAAATTCGGCAAGATATAATTTTTATATTTGTATGAACTAATTTTCATCATGAAATATTAAAAATTAGATCCTTTTATCATATGAAGATACAATTCTTGGCAAGCGGTTCAAAAAATTACCTCATCCGAGTCAATTTTTTCACATTACGGTAGAATGCCCCAAATGCTATTACTTAGTGATGTTTGTCGAGAATTTCTGAAAATTTCAAAAATTTTTTTTTTATATAATAGCGAGGAAAGTGTTTCGATCCAAATCGTTTTCAATAGGATCCGTTGGCGGACTGAGACCGTATGTCGAATTTCATTAAAAAATATCTCAAATCTCTCTCTGTACAGCCAGACGATAGACAGACAGACGGACAGACAAGCTTAAATTGATTCAAAAAGTGATTCTAAATCGATGGGTATAATATCCATCCATGAGTCCATCCCAACTCCGTCTGCATATTGCATATATCCGCACAAACTGAGTATACTCATGCAAAACTTGTATACTCTGGTGTGAGGTATAAAAAGGATGCAGCGGCGTCGGTCAAGTCAGTCACAAATGTTTTCTTTTATATTATGTTTATTTATTTATTTATTTCTTTATTTATTTTTGTTATTATTGTTCGTTCTTATTGTATTAAATACCAAAGTTTGCATTGCATCCAATATACATAAATAACTACATTGTTCGCTAATAGATAAATTGTTATAATATAAGCTAGAAAAAGAAACCAATTCGTCTAAGGGCTTATATAAGTAAATGGATAGGAAAAGAAAAACCATCGTCCATTATTTCAATTATAACGTTTCAAGCTTACTTGCATGCATGTACAAGGGTGTAAGAGAGAGAGAGAGAGAGATTGCCTTGAAAGAATAGCGTGACTTATGTGTGATATATTTATTACGAAGGTTAATATAATAATTGAAATTCAAACGATAAGCGATATTATAAACATCATAAATAAATATTTAACATATAACAAAAAGGACTTGCACTATAACACACACACACACACACGCGAACAATAACAACAAATTGCTACTTTTCAACACTTAAGAGTTCCTGTAAACAGTTTTCGTAGACATAGGTTACTATTATTATTATTATTATTAATAATACATTAACTCATTTGCTTATTGAAAGGACTTATAAAGATGGAAATAAGTGGAAAAGTTCATCGTACCGCACAGCCTATATCGTAATGAATGAATGATGGCTCGATACAAAGTTTAATGTTTATTGATAGCAGCGGTGTGAGAGGAGGAGGAGGAGGAGGAGGATATGATCAAAAACTAACCATATCGAAGCCCACGTCGTAGTGAGTGCCACGGGTGTAAAGCACCGGTATAGCCTGACGGCGTGGTATATTTGTAGCTGTCATCTTGCTCCGATTTGTTTCTTCCTTTTAAAATTTCACTGTTCGCCCTGGCTTGATAATTGCAGATGTAATCATAAACTCAATTACATATATATCTATACATATATATCTATATGCATATATATAGATATTATTTAATAATTTAATTGTTACACATGTATTCTCCTTATCTTTATAAATTTGTTTATAAATATAATATGGTTATTGTTGCTGTTGTAGCTGTTGTTTTTTGTCTTTTTATTTTTATTATATGCAAAGAAAAGAGAAAATCTCTCACACGTTATCAATTTTATGCTTTTCTTTTTTCTTTCACATTTAATATAATTACTGATAATGCACTTTAAAGTATTCTTTTAGTCAAGCTATGTTATATTATTATTATTATTATTATTTGTGTTTTTTTTTTTTTAAATAAATAATTATTGTTAAAATTTTTTATGCAATAATCGAATTTATTTAGTGCAACACGTAGATAATTTGAAATGTTATTAAAATTTTTAAGAGCGTTTTTATATGAAATGCACAATAAACAACTTTTTCGTTTGACAGTAGTTCCTAAACTAATAGAATGAAAAATTCTGACCTGCAAAGTGAGTTCGGTTGGTAAAGTGATTGGTTTATACCAATTTTGTGGCTGACTCAACTGTTCTCAAATCGTTTTCGGTTAATACTTGCGAATTTTATTATCACACATTCTGCTAAGATTCCGCTGTAGTATTAATGCATTCATTCATTCATTCGCACACAACATGTTCGCTGAGGGTGATTGAATGCATAAGTGATGTTGTAGTTATTAGCGTTTGACATACACGTGCTCTCATAATAATGCATATATATATGCGTGTATTGTTACGATTCGTTTGGTTATAAGTGTTAATGCTATTAAATTTAAATTTCATTTAGCCAAAGGTATGCAAATTATGTTTTTCTTCCTTTTCTCTTATTTGTTTATTTTTCTTTTTATTATTATTATTATTATTATTATTTTTTACTTTATTTTTAACAATAAAAATTCTTTGTTATAACAATTAACATATCGTTTTTTCAGAATTCGATTATTGACTATAAATATAAAAAAAAATCCCAAAAAAATTCATTATTATGATTATTCCACAAATTTTGTGATTTTGTGAAAAAATAAAATAAACAAATAAAAAAAAAACAAGCAGAAAAAGTGTTAGTTAAAAAGAACCTTAAAGAAAAAAATTATTTACTAAAATTGGGTTTCATCGCCAGTTATACCATTTTTAGTATTTTTCTGAAATCAATATGAATTTCGTGCCGAACGAAGATCCGATCTCTCAAGGCTACCTCATAGAACAACTCATTTCTTAAATGTCACAGTAAGACGAAGAAGCGCAGTTCATACAGGCAATAAGTCATTGTAAAAAATAAATGTTAACCAGAAGGAATAATGTCTAGCAAATAGGGCGTGGAGGGTAGCACATCTCATTTGCTAAGCGAGTTTTTTTTTGCTTGAGTTGAGT